GGCTATGATCTTCTCCACCCTTCCTCCAGACTCTAGGACCTTGGTTTCCAAATGAAATACAAAACTTGCTATCATCTGAAAAGAGGACATTGGACCATTGGGCAACAGTCCAGTTCTTCTTCTCCTTAGCCCAGGTAAGATGCCTCTGACGTTGTCTGTGGTTCAGGAGTGGCTTAACAAGAGGAATACGCCAAATTCCTTGACACGTCTGTGTGGGGTGGTTCTTGATGCCTTGACCCCAGCCTCAGTCCATTCCTTGTAAAGTTCACTCAAATTCTTGAATCGATTTTGCTGGACAATCCTCATAAGGCTGCGGTTCTCTCAGTTGGTGGTGCATCTTTTTCTTCAATACTTTTTCCTTCCACTCAACTTTCTGTTAACATGCTTGGATACAGCACTCTGTGAACAGCTAGCTTCTTTGGCAATGAATGTTTGTGGCTTACCCTCCTTGTGAAGGGTGTCAATGATTGTCTTCTGGACAACTGTCAGATCAGCAGTCTTCCCCATGATTGTGTAGCCTAGTGAACCAAACTGAGAGACCATTTTGAAGGCTCAGGAAACCTTTGTAGGTGTTTTGAGTTGATTAGCTGATTGGCATGTCACCATATTCTAATTTGTTGAGATAGTGAATTGGTGGGTTTTTGTTAAATGTGAGCCAAAATCATCACAATTAAAAGAACCAAAGACTTAAACTACTTCAGTCTGTGTGCATTGAATTTATTTAATACACAAGTTTCACAATTTGAGTTGAATTACTGAAATAAATGAACTTTTCCACGACATTCTAATTTATTGAGATGCACCTGTAATTTGCCTGAAGACTGCGAAATTGATTTCTTTCTTTGCTCAAGAATTATGGATGCAAAAATCATAGAACCTGCAGTGGCTAATTATACTCCAATTACAATTACAGTTAATTTGGACACCTAGTCTGCTACTAACCTTTTTTGTAATGATGATGATCATCAAGCAATTATTTTGTTTCCTGTAATTGAAACATTGTATGTACAGTATCTCCAGGGGTGGTTTTTCAGTTTTTGGGTTGCTGCTTACAAAATAGCAGTTTTCAGTGTAGCTTTTCCAGTTGATAATTTGTCCAGCAATTAGCAATGGGGCACAGATGCTGATTCACTGTAGTCGTGTATTGTCTCTTTTTTTAACCAGTTCCCCAATTCAAATACCAATGCAGTATATGCTTTTAATAATATTTATAATACTAATTTGTGCAAAAATATTTTTAAATATTTAAAATATAATTATATATTACTGATACAATAATACAATTTTGTAAACATTTTTAAAGAGAGGTATTTAGTTGAATGCTGCTGTTCAGTGTTTTTGATAAAACATTTACCTGTAAAAGTGTGAACAGATTTATTCATTCAAAAACCCTCATTGTTTTTGAGCCAGAGAAATACAGCTGATTAAATTTATTAATTATAAACTTACAGTGGGTACGGAAAGTATTCAGACCCCCTTAAATTTTTCACTCTTTGTTATATTGCAGCCATTTGCTAAAATAATTTATGTTATTTTTTTTTCCTCATTAATGTACACACAGCACCCCATATTGACAGAAAAACACAGAATTGTTGACATTTTTGCAGATTTATTAAAAAAGAAAAACTGATATATCACATGGTCCTAAGTATTCAGACTCTTTGCTGTGACACTCATATATTTAACTCATGTGCTGTCCATTTCTTCTGATCATCCTTGTGATGGTTCTACACCTTCATTTGAGTCCATCTGTGTTTGATTATACTGATTGGACTTGATTAGGAAAGCCACACACCTGTCTATATAAGACCTTACAGCTCACAGTGCATGTCAGAGCAAATGAGAATTATGAGGTCAAAGGAACTGCCTGAAGAGCTCAGAGATAGAATTGTGGCAAGGCACAGATCTGGCCAAGGTTACAAAAACTTTTCTGCTGCACTTAAGGTTCCGAAGAGCACAGTGGCCTCCATTCCTTAAATGGAAGACGTTTGGGATGACCAGAACCCTTCCTAGAGCTGGCTGTCCGGCCAAACTGAGCTATCGGGGGAGAAGAGCCTTGGTGAGAGAGGTAAAGAAGAACCCAAAGATCACTGTGGCTGAGCTCCAGAGATGCAGTCGGGAGATGGGAGAAAGTTGTAGAAAGTCAACCATCACTGCAGCCCTCCACCAGTTGGGGCTTTATGGCAGAGTGGCCCGACGGAAGCCTCTCCTCGGTGCAAGACACATGAAAGCCCGCATGGAGGACTCCAAGATGGTGAGAAATAAGATTCTCTTGTCTGATGAGACCAAGATATAACTTTTTGGTATGTGTGGAGAAAACCAGGCACTGCTCATCACCTGTCCAATACAGTCGCAACAGTGAAGCATGGTCCCCACAGCATCATGCTGTGGGGGAGTTTTTCAGCTGCAGGGACAGGACGACTGGTTGCAATCGAGGGAAAGATGAATGCAGCCAAGTACAGGGATATCCTGGACAAAAACCTTCTCCAGAGTGCTCAGGACCTCAGACTGGGCCGAAGGTTTACCTTCCAACAAGACAATGACCCTAAGCACACAGCTAAAATAACGAAGGAGTGGCTTCACAACAACTCTGTGACTGTTCTTGAATGGCCCAGCCAGAGCCCTGACTTAAACCCAATTGAGCATCTCTGGAGAGACCTAAAAATGGCTGTCCACCAATGTTTACCATCTAACCTGACAGAACTGGAGAGGATCTGCAAGGAGGAATGGCAGAAGATCCCCAAATCCAGGTGTGAAAAACTTGTTGCATCTTTCCCAAAAAGACTCATGGCTGTATTAGTTCAAAAGGGTGCTTCTACTAAATACTGAGCAAAGGGTCTGAATACTTAGGACCATGTGATATTTCAGTTTTTCTTTTTTAATAAATCTGCAAAAATGTCAACAATTCTGTGTTTTTCTGTCAATATGGGGTGCTGTGTGTACATTGAGGAAAAAAAAATTAACAAATGATTTTAGCAAATGGCTGCAATATAACAGAGTGAAAAATTTAAGGGGGTCTGAATACTTTCCGTACCCACTGTATACATTTTAAAATACATTGTTCCTTTAGCTTTAATCTGCTATTTTTTGTTAGTAGCTTGTTTTCATTACTACTTTTTTCCAAACGTTTAGCTAAATATGTAGCTTATTGTCGATAACTAGTGAGTGTTGTTGTCTTTTTCATCAAAAACTTAGCTCAAACTACAAGCCAACTCTATTCTTCAAAAGGTTAGCTTGAGTGTAGTTTTGAGCTAGTATTGTAGCCAAAGGGTTAGCTTACTGTATTAAACTGCTTAAACCTGTAGTGTATCTAACTACTTTTTGCAAAAAGTTAGCTTGAAAGTATTGAACCACTTTAAATGAGTTTTCCAAAAGGATAGCTTGTATTAAAAAAACCTTCCACTGACTGTATATCCACAATCTCTAGCAACAAAGGCATGGACCACCTCCACTGCATGAAGATGAAGAAGATGGTTCCTCTGTATGACCTGCTTCTGGAGATGCTGGACGCTCATATCATGCACAGCTCACGTGTGTCTCACTCCGGCCCTCAAGCAGCTCCTGCTCCCAAAGAGAGCGTCCAGGAGGCCTTCGCCTGCACTTCTCAGCAAGGCGGGACCTTAGGACCCTAAACTATTTCTGGTGAGATGTAGCAAGAGTAGTTTCTTTCATAATGCAGGTGTTGTGACGTTGACATAAATAAAAGTTTTACTGATGGAAATGACTGTTTTATAAAATATTTAGTTATTAATTTCACAGGATGTTGCCAGCTAAAATTATTCCATAAATCTTAAAATAACTGTACAAGCTGGGGGGAAAAAATCATGTTAAATTGTTCTTCTTTCTTGCCAGCGCTGAAGAATGATCTATAGTTTCGGGAGAATGGACAACAAAACTAGCCACACAAGAGTGGAATAGGATTTCTCAAGATGAAAAACAAAGATGAAAAACTTTTTTTTGTTTTTTGTTTCACAGAACTCATTCTGAACAGTTTTTTTGGTTTTATGTAGCCTAAACCACAAAAAAAGGGAAATGTAAATTTTTACAAAACCTTAACAATTGCTGGAGGTTTGAAAATCGATTACTATTTGTTTGGATTTTGGATTTCTAAAGCTTTTTTGAAATGCAACATGCAGTGAGATATCTGACAGTGTGGCCTCACGCACCCATCCCTATGAAATCTGCACCATAATGAAATGTACAGTTTCTACTTTTCCATTTTCTTTCTAAACAGTACATTTGCAACTCGCACTTTTTGTAAAAGAAAACAGTGTCACAACGATGCCCTCATCAACACTGTCGAAATAAACAGATCAGATTCCATCACTTGCAAAATTACAGTAAGGACAGTTATTACTAAAGAGAGAGAGATTTGTATGAAAAGTGAGCAAAGACTAAATTCTGGTCCAAAGGCTCAGAAGAACTGAATCAAGCCTTATTTTATTCGGTCAGAACAAGGACTTGTGACTGTCACACCGCAGTAATTCAGGGCAGCTGGATGTTTTGTTTGCATCCATTACTTTTGACAAAACAGATTACGGAGCAAAAATTCAAAACAAACTGCCTTCTTTCGTCCTGCTCTCTACCCTTTAACACCATAAAGGACTTGTACAAAACATTTGAACATTTTCTAGGGACAGCTCAATTTATTGCTACTATTCCACTGTGAAATCCTTTCTGTTGGTAAGTTTCAGAGAACTCAAAAGTGCTATTTCACAAGTAAATTTTTGGTAGTTGTGGTGCACAACTACCAAAAATGTACTTGTGAAATAGCACTTTAAGAGTTTTCAGAATCAAGAAAACTGAAAATATTGCAGTGACTACAATGATTATAGCCTATACAGTTTGGTTTAAGATGACAGTAATAAGAGAAAGTATCTAAGTAAAGAGAAAATTGATTTATTCCTACCTTAAAGATCAGAATCATAGAGATAGATGTTACAAGTACTTACTTTTAATAAACACACAAAAGAAATGTTATTTTATCTGCTGGCAGCCATCTGAATTTTAATTGTTTTGATATGAAGCACTAATATTGATTTTACAATTTTTGGCAACTAAGCATTTAAGACCAGCTGTAATACAGATTTGTTGTAGACAATGTTTATTTTTTAACAGAACAAATTTTTGTAAAATGTTTTCAAAATGGACTTTCTGTACACGTCTTTGTGTTCTACCTTGCAGTGCATATGTAACAGTGTGCTATTTACACAGGGCTGTATTAAACTGTGTTCACGTGCATTTGACATTTTTAAATATATTTCTGTTTTGGGCTTCGCAAATATGAACAGTTAATTCAGACCATATACAATTTAAAAATGAGGCCACATAATCCCTAAATAACAGCCAGTCATCATGTCACCACAAACTGTGGCTGAAGAGTCAATCTTTTCAAGTTGCAAACTCTTAACTAATTTTTCATCAGTGCGTGATGTGCTTAAATCTAGAAAAATTTTAAAAAATGATCAGTGATTTACATTCAAGCTAATACAATGATTGACGTTTTTCTTTACAGCATTGTGACAAAAAAAGGGACACATTTTTTTTGATCACATCCAACTAACATTAACAACAAAATTATCAGTAGTATGGCTCTCAAAGGGGAATAAATAGTAAAACATCAATACAACCATTCAAATATTGGTTGGACAAAAGTGAGGTGCTGAGAGACTCATGTGGGGGGAGGACCATTGGTGTAGTGTAACATGGGGTGGAAAGAGCGGGCAAAATTGTTGGAAAAGGTGCAGCTGTAATCGTCTTCAGAAAGAGGCACCAAGCAGGCCAGAACCAACAGCAGGAGGAACAGGAGATGCAGAGGGAAAGCCGCTCGCAGGACCCGATAGAAGAACGAACGCTGAGGTGATGGGTCACGCTTTGGCCTGAAACAGAAAGTTTTACTGCTGATCTTTTTATCTAATCTTATCTTCTTTAAAACAGAAATGTCTATATATACTGTGTATATGCATTTTTGCTTATATAGCATATATTTTTACAATATTCTATACTATTTAAATCTTCATGAAAAAGGAACAAATTAAAATGGTTTGTGTGTCAAACTGTACCGAGAGCATTGTGTGGATTTCCTGTCTCCCGAAGCATCAGTCGTGGACTCCTGCAAACACATGACAGACAATTTCAGCACCTCCACAAATCAAAACTACTCAACCAGATCATATCGCTCTAAATTATGAGCATGTAGTATACTTTTAATTTCAATATTTGTAGTATTGTTTGTAGTAAAAACTGCCTTATCTTAAGTTAATTATATTTATTTGTTGACATGGTGTGGCAAAAACTAATGCACACTAGTGTACACGATGTAACTACAGAAGAGTCAAGTTTAAAGGTTTGTACTCTTTCAATTTTTTTTATATATTTTTGAAAGAAGTCTCTTATGCTTATCAAAACGTTTAAATAATCAAATTTAAAAAAAAATTGTTAAATTTTAAAATCTAAAATACCTTTTCTATTTTAATATAATTTTAAATTAATTTTAATATATTGTAACAGCCATTATTCCAGTCTTCAGTCACATGATCCTTCAGAAATCATTCTAATATGCTGATTTGCTGCTGAAGAAACATTTCTTATTAGTATCAATGTTGAAAACAGTTGCTGCTTAATATTGTTGTGGAAGCCTTTGTGATTTATCAGGATTCTTTGATGAGTAGAAAGTTCAAAATAGATTAAAGGAACACTCCACTATTTTTGAAAATAGGCTCATTTTTCTCCCCTAGATTTTCCTCCCATACTCCCCTAGGGTTAAACAGTTGAGTTTTACCATTTTCGAATCCATTCAGCCGATCTCCGGGTCTGGTGTTAGCACTTTTAGCTGTAGCTTAGCACAGATCATTGAATCTGATTAGACCGTTAGCATCTCGCTCAAAAATGACCAAAGAGTTTCTATATTTTTCCTATTAAAACTTGACTCTTCTGTAGTTACATCGTGTAC